GTGTGTGTGTATGTGTGTGTGTGTGTGTGTGTGTGTGTGTGTGTGCGAACGTGGTGAAACACCAAAATAAGGTGCCAGGATCTGGACAATAAAGATGTATCTTATCTTATCTTATCTAAAAGTTGTAGTAGACTGGCTTTAGAAACTAGAAACTAGAGAAATTGTCAACAATGTGGTCTAGAACAGAAATAATAAAAGTTTCCTGGAAAGACGGTAACGGTTGAATGGGGACGATAGTGTTTGATTGCTCTTTTTTTTATAGCCAATGCACACTTTTGTCACTTTTAAGTCTTTAAGAAGTTAACATTTTCGTACTGTACACCTACACTACATATACTTCCATGCGGGGCATTTATTAATTCATGTCACTAAAATCATCAAATCGTCCACTTGAGGGCGATATCGCCAATGTTGCCAAGTACTGGGTTATGACAAAAAGATTGGGTTTGGACAATAATTTAATTCCCCTGGTTAGGTAGGCGTGTTCAGCTCGAGATAATATCTTTGATGTGATAATCTCAAAAAGCACCCTCACTGTCCGATATGTCTATGTAATCAGAAACATGGCATTGCAAGACAGTGTTGTCCTGGGAGTCATATCTTTCAGCGTGAACGAAATGGCGGGAAAATGGAAGGGCAGTTTTGGTACGTCTACCTTTTGAAACCGGGGAGAAATAATGGCATCGTCTTCAAACCAAAATCTGCAGAGGTGATTTGTTAAAAACTCCGTTTGCATATTTGAGGAATGAAACACAGTCTGAACTAAGAGTTGCTGAACGTTGCCGTTGAGTATATTACTTTGAACAGATTTTTCATGCAGTGTTAGTTCCGTACTGCTTCTGTTTCTAAATATCTTCACAATCAATTGTGTGACCGAGTGCTTTACAATCCTATTTTCTTACTGTGGCAAACTGGGAAAGACATTAACTAACGTCTATGAAAAACTGCGGCCCAGGCTTGCCCATTTGCCTGACTCAATGGTACAAGTTGCTGCTCAATTTGCTATGTAAAAGTGCGGCAAACAGTACTGTGGTAAAATTTTAGGAAGACCATAGGACGAAAATAATTAAGTGGCACAAAGAATAAAGAATACTTCAGTTTTCTCTCAAGAAGACAAACAATTCCAATTCTAGTGTTGTAAGGGCTATCCTTTTCTGTGGGCGTGAACACAAACGGTGTATATCGAATGAGTCATCAGACAGAGGGAAACAGACTGCATTCACAAACCACAGAACTGTATTTACTGAACGACCATTTGAGATCCAAGTCTTTCAGTAGTTGTGTTGCTGATTAATTGGTCTAGTTTTATAAAAGACCGCAACCCTCTTATATTATTTTGGATTAATGATTGAAAAGTAGGCAAGATACCCATACGCTCTAGTTTTGTTTAATGTTTCGTCTTTCTTTTTTGGCAAGGGAAGGGGCACTAGAGCTTGAAAATTTATTTTTCTATATGATTATATGCGTTGAATACTGGATACACCCGAGAGCAATCGTGGCATCGTAAACTAAAGATAAGTGCAAAGACTGTCAAAGTTTTTGCGACCAGTGACATTTAAAACAGTTTGGCTTTGTTCCTGACGAAGCCACCTGAAATTCCGACTTCAGTTTATCAGTTTTAGTGCTAATGAAAATCTCTTCATTCATTCTTTATTCGGGTTTTTTAAAAGTTTTTGACAAAATAAAACACACGGTATCTCAAAGGTTTTGTTTTTTTTTAACAAAATAAAACACACGATATCTCTTCCTGAAATCTTTGAGAATCTAGACCAGAGCTCACCAAACTTTTTGTTTAAAAGTGGACTTGATAACTGATAGAAGGCCGAGCACTGGCTGAATAACTATTTTGTTCAGTACAATACACTAAATACACAAATAAAGACAAACAATCGTTCGACTGATTTAAACACAAAGTACAAAAATACCCCCCCCCCCCCGAATCGTTTAGTAGAAGACGTTATGAAGTCTATAGCTGTATTAAGAGGACGTTTAATTTGAACTAAAGAGCTCGATGAAATAATGGTACCATTGAGGTGACCAAGCAAGGAGCACGCAACAAACACATCTTCCACGTTCTTCTTTCCCTCCTTCTAGCATGGTGGTGGGCCAGACGAACTTACTGGCCTCCAGGGCTGGATCTGGCCCGCGGGCCGTAGTTTGGTGACCCCTGATCTAGATAATCATAGACATGATCTGAATGTAAGTAGGAATCTCCACTGGGACGAGAGTGCTGCTGTTTGAATCAAGGAAGAGCATGCACAGCGATTATAACAAAGTTCTGAGAGGAGCAAGACATTTCACATTTGTATCCCCCCCCCCCACCTTAAAAAAGTCATAAAGACATCCGGAATTTTTTTTAAAGTTCAAAGATCAGAAGTCCTCACTAATACTAGATGTATGGACGCTACAGTTTTTGAAGGACGAAAAAGAAATGGAGTTTCAAAGACTGTTGGCATTATTGTAGAAGAGAAAAAGCAAGAAAGGGGTTTTATCTTAATGTTACGAAGATTGAATGCATGGTTCTATAACAAAAAAAGAAGAAAAAAACTTAGAACCCCCTGTAAAAAAGTTGAAAGCAAGGGCAACAGAAAGCAAACAAATCAAGAAACCAAATACCTTGAATACTGATAAGATCAAAAAGTAAACAAATGAGTGAACTTAAAAGGAAGCACTGCGATTGCAAAGGGTTTTTAAAAAGTAAAATCAACCTAATAAATAAATCTAGAAAAAAGAGAAGCATGGAAGGGATAACAAAGACTCGTTTTCTTTTTTCAGAGATATAATGTATTATCAGTATTATTATATGGCTTAGAATGCTGGTTGATAACTAGAAAGAAGAGCGAGAAATAAGGAAGCAACAGAGATATCGCTTATGAGAAGACAGCTAAGAGTTTTACGGAAGGAATGAGAATCTGTGCTTAATAAAAGATGATATCTGCAACAAAGACTAATAGAACACCCATTTCGTCTTCAAGAAAGAAAGCAAAGCAAAACTATTGAAGAAAAGAGGGTTGTCTCCAGGAAGAATATAACATACAACCAAGAAATGTTTGCACCCAGAAGGAAAGAAAAAAAAAGAAAAAAAGAAGAAAAAAAGAAAAAAAAAAAAAAAAAAAAAAAAAAAAAAAAAAAAAAGAAACAGACAAGAGTTCGCGTTGAGAAAGAAAGAAGTGGATAGCAACATAACAGCAAGCACAACAAAACGTGACAGATAGTTTAACGAGCAAAACTAACGGAGATTGGGTGACAAATTACCGAAGAAGGTTAAGACGACTATTCCCAGGCTTAATCCCTAGTCAAGAGATCATTTTCCGCATTCTTTCAGTGTGAATATTATCTTTCCCCATTAATCTCCAAGTGAACTAAAATGCGCATGAAGTTTAAGTGTCATGTTACTATAAAGTCAAAATCATTTGCCAGCAATGCTTTATCTGTCAACGTCATACACAAAGCTTTTAGCCTCCCAGTTGGTGTACTTGAGTCACGTGTTGAGTCTCAATGTCCCACGGACGAAACCACAAGAAACAATCAATGGCTTTCAATAGCAGTGGACCCTCGGTGAGGACCATTCGACACCGTGCCGCTCTATTGGATTTTCCCGACATTTTCCCCCCGGGTCTCCCACCGATTTTGTCTTGTCGTGCACGCTTTTATTTCTTAACACTCCATTAACGAGGACTGGGAAGGGATCAGCGGCATAGCGGTGCCCGTATACCAACGTTAATGGCGTTTGTTGATTCTTGATAGCGTTTGTTTGATTCCTGGGAGCGTTTGTTTAGATCCAGGAGTATTCGAATCAGATTTCAGACACGTCATCTTCGGAGAGATTGGCTACGGTTTTGGCAGACAAACGGCTAGGTAAGACATGATATCTATAAAGGCTTTTTCAAAAAGGCGTGATTATTTTTTTTATTTAGTTATTATCATCGGGGAAGATAACATAAACCAACAAAATTGTTTGTTAATTGACGGATTAGAAATACACAGGTTTAAAAATTATGTTCAAAGCACATGAGCAAACAGGTTAAGGTGCAAGCTATGGGGATTTAATGTCTTCGGAAAGATCACATGTACACACATACCTACATACACGCGCGTGCACGCACACAAATACACACACACACACACAAATGCACACATACACACACAAACACATACACCCACACATACATACATTCACATACACACAAACAAACACACGCACACACTAACGATCACGTCACAACAAATCGAAACAAAAAATTATAGCCCCTTCAAAGGAAAGAAAACTAAGCATTAAATCTTAACACAGGAAAAGGTAAGTAAAAATAAAAGCCGGAACCCCCGTCAAACCTTATGCTCCTATCTACTAACGTGTGTTTGTGTGCACGCTTTTTTCTTCCTTCTGCTTCAGCCGTTTCTACCTTTACCTTGCATTCTTTTTGCCCCCCCCTTCCCCAACATAAATACACACACACCACGGTTTCTGTTATTTTTCAATATACCGTATCATTTTCATTTTACATGTATTTTTTTTTTGCTTCCGGTTTATCACGATACTCGTGTAGAATGTACTTCCTCTTACCTTTTTCCCCTCTTCCTATTCTTGGCTTATTTCGCCCTCCGTTCTCCAAACAATCATCGAGACACATTAAAAAAATTATGTTTAAATTGTGGTATGCTAGTAATTATTTCAGATAGAAAGTACCGAAACAAGAAACTGAAATGACCTGATCAAAAAAGCCGAAACCAACAAACCAATACTGTGATACCAAGAACAACAATATCCACCCCTCCCCCCCAAAAAAACCCAACAAAAATAAACAAACCAAACAACAAAAGAAACCGAAACCAAACAAAACAACAGAAAACCTCACAATTATAGCCAAAAAGACCCACAAGAAAAAAACCCCCAACACACACGTAACAACAATGAAAATCAATTTACCCCC